GCCAAAGCATGCCTATATCGCCAATCTTCACAATTCGATGCGTAATTCTCGGTTCTCTCAGTCGGTGTCATATTGGCTGGATCTTTTTCTTCTCCCGTTACTATTTTATACAAGTTATTCAAATCCATGTAGGTGAACACCATCATTTTCCAGGAATGGAAGTTGGATTTTCCATGCAGTTTTTCGAATTTTGGGAACTTGTCCATATTGAATATTTTATCTTCGATTTATATTATACCTTTTACAATGAACTTTTTCCCGCAGTCAGCATAGATCTGGGCCCATAACCTTTTGTATTACGACAGAAAACTTGGAAATATTCAGAGTTTGAAAGGCAGACAAAATTAAAAATATATTGTCAAATCTGAAGTAAGTCAAAAACATCACAATACAGGGTAAATCAATTAATGTAAATAAACAAATAATAATGTTGAGATGCTGAGCTGGTAGACTTCTAACATCCTACCTTAAAGCTTTGCCACTAGATGGCTACAACATGACAATTTCATGTTATACCCTGCGTCTTCGAAATGGTTGATATACCCGAAGCGTAGAGTTGTCCCAGTTGTCAGCAGACTGAGAACAGCTGATGAGACCTGGTGGGTCGTAACAGTACTGTCTCGCTCCTGCTGACAATTGGGACAAATCTGTCCATCCTGGATCGCTCATCTATGAGATCTATAGTAGTTGAGTATGAGAGCATTTGCGAGGATACTGAATTTAACGAAATTATGAAAATTACATTTTTTTCTCACTTTTCATAGAAACACCCACGTATATCTTACGTATTTATCGAGTTAGGACTATTCATTTCCAGGAGCAGAAAATATTCCTAAGATACAGACAATGACCATTAGAAATGAGCATCAGTGATATACACTGCTCACTAGCAGCCATGGAACCACCTACATGTCCGGAAAATCATATTAGCAGACAAGATAGGTTGGAAATTACTTCGGATTCAAGAACAGGGAACATAACGTCTAATTCAATAACTACACATAATCCTTCTAAAAAATGTTCAGTTCTGAAATAAAAAATTCTGTCTTACTTTTCACGAAAGCATCCCTGAATTTTACGTATAATTATGGATGTAGGAGCAGCAAACATTTTTGGGACCAAAACAGAGACCAGTGACCAAGTAGGATCATCTTCATTGATACACTGCTCGCCAGCAGCCACAGAACCACCGCCATTATTCCTGGAGGTACAATTTATTAAATCGGAAAACTCACTTGATGGTTGTTATGGAACCGATAATCATAAAGTCAGTTCTCATCAGGGATAATGAGGAAACAATCTGAACTAGTACAATCGAATAGATTATCAGAAGTGATCCAATGGATCAAAGATTATGACGAGTGGCATTGAACTGAATTAGGAATGAATGAATTTGTTAATAGTATGAGGAGAATCGTGATCGATAATAATTGCGTCAAACTATGGAAAGTTAGTGAATTGGACGTCCTCTTTTTGAAATCGAAGTGATTTTCAACCTATCTTGTCTCTTGATATCATTTTCCGGATATGTGTGTAGTTCCACGGCTGTTGGCGAGCAGTGTATATCACTGAAGATGACCCCACTTGAACATAGAGTGAATTTCTGGAATATCTCTCGCTCCCGCAAATTTCAGGATCCTACCCCAACGATTACGTAAGAAACGGGGGTGTTTCCATGAGAAGTGAAACAAAAATGAGATTTTCAGCACTGAAAAATGTTCAAGAAAAATTTGAATAGTTATTGAAATGGGGTGTCCTGATTTCGTATCCAAAGTGATTTTCAACCAATTTTGACTCCTGATATCATTTTCCGAAAATTGGAGTGGTTCCATCGCTGTTGGCGAGCAGTGTGAATCACTGAAGATGACCCCACTTGGTCATAGAGTGCACTTTTGGTAAATCTCTCGCTCCAGCAAATTTCAGGATCCTTACCCAACGAATACGAATGGCATATAGCCAGGAAAGTATCTGTTGAATATCCCGAGTTATTACTATATTCATCAAATAGAGAATGCGAATTCTCAATGTAATTCTTTATATTTTTTTTATCGCTTGGAGCGCACGGAAGGGGATCCCTAAAATCTTGATTATATTTATTATAGGTTTATCTGGTAATATTCCTTTTTGATAAACCATATAATCCTATAGACTGTTGGCCCGTGACACAGGGTTTATCGATGTTCTAAGTCGGTATGCCATTTAAGAGACCCACTCACTCAGTCCGAGTTAACAATAAGAAGTGCCTCGGAGAGTCGCAACCCAGTCCTTGCCCCGGCCCTGACCTCACCTTTCGGTTGGAAAAAATTTCAAAATTTTGTTTAAGAAGAAGCTCGGCAATGAAGTGCAATGATCTTATCTCACGAGAATTGGGGCGCTTGCCGGTTTGCATACGCCTAGGTCACTCCCCAAGGGCGGCATACGAACCGGAAGTGGAAATTTTTCAGTGTTATAGTCGATGATCGAAGATTGTATGCCCTTTGGCGAAACAATAAATTCGGACCCATTAATCATTTTCTCGACATTTGCATATGATTCCGGAGAGGGGAGCTCAACTTATTCGAACATCATTTGACTGGATATTCTTCAAATAATCGATAATCGAAGAAATGTTCAAATTTTGACCATGATTAGTGGACCACACAGTATATATGAGATGATGGTTTGCATACAATTTGCACATTCCGTACTGGGTGTTTCACCATAAATATCTCCCATTGTAACTTAGTTGTTTCTGAACCGATTTTAAAATTTCAAAAACCAATTAAAATGATTTTCCTAAGAGATTTTTCATTGTTATCAAAAAATGCACAGGTTGTTCATAACAAATAAACTATTGGGTAGTTGTTGATGAATTTTTACTGAAACACTATTCTTCACCTCACTATCGAGTTGAGATTATTATGACGAATACAGCTCTACAGCATCTAGCGATATCATTTACACGCAGCACTCTTATAGCAATCATGCGCCAAATTGTCAAATTGTGCCAGAAATATGAATCCCGAGTTTAAAGTATTTCCTTTTTTTTGCTGAAACAATTTTCATATCTGAACAATGATTTGCTGCAGCAGCCGGGTAGAGTGTAGCACGTAATGATTTAGTAGGCATTCAATAATGTTTTTTCCTTTTGTCGGAGATCCGATGTTCAAATATCTCAAAAACCATTTACTTTTGTATAATGTATATTATAGATTTATTCACTTCTTACTGCCTTCCCTACCAGTGGTTTGAATCGGATTACCAGTAAGCCTGTATATAAGTGCAGCGTGTGAATCTTATCGCTAAACTCAACTATACTGGGTTTGATGAAGTTATGTCATTGTCAGTTACATGAAAAATAATGAAGGGGGCTGGGCCCTTGATACTTTTTTTGGGTACGATTTCCATTGGTACCTTGGTGAAGCTCTTTCAGCAGAGGTTGGTGATATCATAATCTCTGAGACTTCAACTGAGAAAGTATGAAGGTATATCATGCCAAGATTTTTCAATAATCAAATAATATACTTACTAACAGGTACTGATGGCAACTCTGGAGAATCATCTTCAGACAGCGAGAGCGAAGATGACTCTGAAGATAATGATAGAGAGGACGACGTATAATTTCTCCTTTGAAATATAATGTTGTTCTCATTTAATATAATTTCATTTTCAAATAATTTTTTTTTATGTGAAAAACAAAAATGTAGATTTAAGTTCAGGACCCCATACTATACCCAAAACATTCAACAAACTAAATAAACATTCTTTATATATTTTTCAGACGCCAGTATTATGATAAGCAGACCCATGAGCCCCAGGAAGAATTTCAATTCGATTCATTTTGAGTTTCGATCATGAGCAATAATCCACCCCTCTTCTCCCTGTACGATCCCTCTTGATCATCTTGCGAGTATCTTGTTGTCAATTTTTTTCATCATCTTTTCAAAGCCCTGTTTTTCAAATTAAAATCACACAACAAAATTTCTTGTTACTAAACCTCTCACACATGTAATTTTGTTGAGCTGTAAATTTCTGATGGATAAATACAAATATATCTGCAATTTGCGTCTTCGAATATCCTCTCACTACCAGGAAGATAATCTTTGACCCGGTTTCATGTGAAGTGAGATTATGAGACTTCCCGATTATCTAGTTCGCTTTCGGTGCACCTCTGGCCTGCAGTGTGGGGCGCCGCGCCGGACCGAGGTACGCGCGGGTTTGCCCGATTATTACAACGTATGCTCACATTGAATTCGTATGCAAATAGCATCCAGTTATAACGAATATCCTAGTTTATCAGTCTAGAGATTTGCATACGAACTTTAATCATCGATTATTTGAAAGATGTCTATGTCTATAGTCAATTGATGTTCGAATAAGTCGAGCTCCCCTCTCCGGAATCATATGCAAATGTCAGGAAACTGATTAATGAATCAGAATTCATTGTTTCGCCAAAGGGCATACATTCTTAGATCATCGACTATAACATTGAAAAATTGCCACTGCCGGTTCGTATGCCTCCCTTGGGGAGTGACCTAGGCGTATGCAAACCAGCAAGCGCCCCAATTGTCATGAGATAAGATCATTGCACTTCATAGCCGAGCTTCTTCTTAATAAAAATTTTGAAATTTTTTCCAACCGGAAGGTGAGGTCAGGGCCGGGGCAAGGACTGGGTTGCGACTCTCCGAGGCACTCCTTCCTGTTAACTTGGACTAAGTGAGTGGGTCCCTTGAATGGCATACCGACTTAGAACATCGATAAACCCTGTGTCGTGGGCCAACAGTCTACTATTTTCAGCGATTAATTCGGAAAAAAAATACTCCTAACATGCATGAAACAAAAGCCCCGTGACCCCGACCGAGTATAGGCAATTCTTCATCTTCCTTGGGAGACAAATTTAACGCCCAAGTCATATTTCGAGATAAATTGTTATTAAGTTTTTCCCATGTGATGCCAAATTTCTGAAAGGCACTGTATATCGCAGAGTGAAAATAAGTATAATGGTAGCTTTGACTATTTACCTCTGAATACTGAAGCAGAACTACTCTAGCTCCTGCTTCATTTCCATGCATGTTTCCAATCAACTTAACATTTGGCACTCCAACTTTTCCTATTTCTGATGCTGTTATTTCCAGTACCCAAATGAGCTGACCTATCATTGAATGAAAAATTAACATTATATTCTGAGGAAATGGAAGAATCATTAGCAAATTTGAAGAGCTGTATAGGTATTTGTTTTGTGCTGTTCAGTATATTGACAGATAATTGACGGATTTCGAGGTTATCACCTGACGTTGCGATGACAACAATCAATAATAATAATTATAATAATAATAATAATAATACTGTATTTCTACTTCGAGAAATAACATTGTATGGGAATTGTCAATATAATATAAATCAGTAGAAGAAAATGAAAAAAGAGTTAGATGAAGAAGAGAAAGTAGTAATAGAATAGAATCGGTAATACCTAAAACAAATATTATTCTAAAAATTCTGAAATTGTATAAAAACATGCTTCCAATAAATAGTTTTTAACTTTTTTTTGAACACATTGATGTGTTTCACAGACCTCAAATCTTCAGGAAGATGATTGAATAATTTAGGTCCAATGCAGTCCGGGGCAGATGAACTAACTTTTCACCTTGCTAACGACAAATGAAAGTGATTTTTAATTCTTGTGTTATGGTTATGTAGATTCTGAATCATTGTAAAAGTTAATTTATTTTTGAAAACATATACACCTAATTCAAAGGTATAAAGAGATGTCAATGTCAAAACTTTATATTACTTGAATCGACTTCTACATAATTCTCTAGCTGAAACATTTGCTATGCACCATATTATTCGCTTTTGGGCAACGAATACTATCATTATAGCAGTTGATCCACCCCAGAAACTGACACCATACATCAATCTAGATTTTATTTGAGCAAAATGATATATGTTGAGTAATTGATCCCTACTGAAAACTGATCGTAAATTGATGGAAAGGAATTCAGAGAGTTGAGCAAAGAAGTTAATTGCTGACAATGAGCCTTCCAGTTGAGGAACTCATCAAGAAAAATACCCAAGAATCTCACACTCTGATTAGTGTTCCTCAATGTCATGCTATTAACAGTGAAACTAATATCTTCTATTTTGTTTTGAATATTGTGAATACAAACAATCTCTGTTTTGTCGACATTAAAGAATAAATCATGATTGTTGAGGAAATCTGATACCTCTGACTTACTGAACCACCACATTTATTTTCTAATATTTTGGAATCACGCGCAGAGATTACATATGAAAAATCATCGGCGTATGCAGTATAATGATTATTTGTTATAACACTGTCTATATAATACTATTAACATATGAAATGAACAGAACGGGACCCAATACAGCCCTGTGGTACTCCCATGTTTATGCTCAACGGCTCAGAATCACCTCTACACGTTTCATGTTCTTTATTCACTTGTAAGGAAACAAATTGCTCTCGATTTTGAAGAAATGACGACAATCAACTAAGACATACTCCTCTGATTCCATACATTTCTAATTTCGACCTCAGTTTTTGATGGTTGACACAGTCGAAAGCTCGACTAAGATGACAAAGAATCACCACTGGACATTCACCTGAATCAACGTACTCTATGGTTTTGTTCAGTAATGAGAACATAGCTGTGTTCGTAGATTTTTCAGAACGAAATCCATGCTGCCTATTACTCAAAACAGAAAGTTTATCAAGAAACGAATTGAAGCGTTCCAAAAAGGCGTATTCGAAAACTTTCGAGAGTCCACAAGGGACTGTTACAGGCCGATAATTTTCCATACGGGTTTTGTCTTGTTTTTGAAAGTAAGAGTGACTTTACCAGTTTCTAACTTGTGTGAAAAATCACCTTTCACAAATGACGTATTCACCAGATGTGTTAATGATGATATTATTATCAAAGAAAGAACTCTTCTCAATATTAACATCGGTATGTCATCTGGATCGTTTTTTAACAATGAGGGTAATTCATGTTCCTTGAATGGGTTCAAAAACATTGTGTAAGGGTTGAAATCCTTTCTATCTATCTGTTCAACCAATTTGATAGGAGCCTTAACGAAACGATCATTGAAATTCGAGGCAATAGTTACCGGATCTTCTATAAGCTGATCATCAACTTTGATATTGATTCCATTCTTTAATTCGCGGTGGTCAACTATAACTACTGGAAAACATGTCTTACTTTCAATCTATGCCAGGAGTTAGAAATGTTTTCCCGTAGTTTCCATGTCATCGCAACGTCAGATGATGACCTTGAATAGGGAAAACATTCCTAACTCCTGGCGTAGAATGGAAGTTAGACATGTTTTCCAGTAGTTTTAAATATCATCGCAACGTCATCTAATAACCTTGAAAACCGCTAATTACTCTTTTTTCTTTAGAGGAACCATACCTACTGGATTTGTTTATTGTGTGGCTTTACCTGAGTTGGAACAATTTCCAATATTGTACAAATTTGTTCTTATCCTGCTATGGGCCCTTCTTGATAAATTCTTCAAAACTCCTTCGAGCTCTGAATTCTTGTGGTACCTGAACTCAAGTGAACTTACTTCTAGGTATAGGAAAATCACTAAAACACACCATATCGACCATTTCGCTGAACAAGAACACATTTTTTGTTTGGAGATTTAACGAACTTGTAGACGTTATCACTGATTATGCGGTTTTACAACAATGGTATTTTATTATATCCTTCATATCAATATGGATGTATCTCTTCCGGTATTCCAGTCTTCGGTGGATACCGCTTATGTGAATTATACAGGGTGTCCGGAAAGGTCATGTCGTAAATGATAGGGCTGATAGAGTGAGCCAATCATATTTATTGCACCTTGACATTACTTCTTTTTGTTGGATGATTTATCTTATTCAACCTCATTACGTACTTCTCCTCTAGGTTTTTGGCACGATGGGTCTTTCCAGTCAATTCTAGGAAGAATATATCTGGAAATATATGCCTCTGGATTTCATTCATCATCAATTCATGGTATAATAAATTAGTGAACACGAGAAAATGAACAAGAGAATTCAGACGATCAGACATGGCCGCGAAACTTGTGACGTCAGTGCGCGAGCAATCTGGATTGGTGAGCCGTCACCTTCTCTCGGGATGTCAATGTTGCCAACTCGGACAGAAAGCTATGATTAGTCGGACAATCATTTCACGATTTTTTCATTTCAGCAGATAATACAGATGCGGTTAGACTCAACGTATAACTATACTTACCTGAAAATTCGTGACACTGGAAAATTGCATTTTATGGTTATTTAGATGTTTGATTTCGGTTGATGGATTATTCAAAATTGTTAGTTAAATTTCATTTTGTATTGATTCACAGTGCAGATATTCATGACATTTAGTTCAAAACCCTTCAAGTAAAGTACTTTCAAGTTTAGGTACTCACCTAGTTATGTACCTACCTATACCTATCATAAGGAAAAAAATGAATTCTGAATCATTCGATACTGAATTGTTCACTTGGTTCTACTCTTATTGATTTTATTACAAGAATCAATGCCTTCTTGTCAATAATATAGAGAAATAAGGACAGTGAAGTTATGGGGAGAATTAGGTATTTTTAATGAGTACTCGATATTTAGTAACATTGTTCAATTTGTTGATTATAACAATTAGTCAATTTCAAAATCATATCTGAGACCAAACTGAGTATATGAGAATTGTCTTACTGTTAGATGCCTACTTCATATTTTATCCTAGTAAATCTTGAAACTAATGGAATTCCTCGGAGTTCAGCGTGAATTGAATGTGATTAGCAGTGAATTACCAATCGACTAATCACCTACATAATAATTCTTAATCATGGCATTTCTTGCACCATCTTGCACATAGCATCAATTCAAGAACTTTATTGACACCTGGCAACAACGACATGCTTCCCAGCCATCAGAATTCCAACCAATCAGATTGCAAGAAGACACTAACATCACAACTCAGTAGAGTTTGGAATTTGAATTCATAGGTATTGAAACTGCATATTCAATATCAAATAATGCATTGTCGTTCGGTTTTTGACTTCCCCTTATAACATTATAGCAAGAAGGGGTCAAATTTCACGATACTGGCACACAACTCATATTGTTTCGAAATTTACGCTTATTTTGTTCATGTCGTTTTGGTTTGTATCATTTGTCTTGTGTTTTGTCAACGTTTTTCTTTATGTTCTGGTTCCCACACAAAGGGATATCCTGTAATGCTCGGAGAACAATGAGAACATCGTGCGAACCGAGGGAAGTGAGGTAGGAATTGGTGTTCTTCTTAAATTTCTGGAGGTTATATGCCTCGGGGAACACCTCCCTTGGCAATATGTTCCAGAGCCTCGCTGTTCGTTGGATGAACGACTCTTTGGGAAGAGATGTTCCGCAGGTCTCCAAAGTGACCACGAAGTGGTGCGAATCCTCAACTCGACGGGTTAATCTCGCAGAGGCTGCCAAGGGAGGAACAATTGTTGATATTTCAGAAGATCATCGTCCATGAAAATATCTATAAAATAGACCCAGATTGCCAACTTTTCTTCCGTGTTCCATAGAAGTGAGTGAGTTTGTGAGCGAGGCATCAACCACGAGACGAATTGCCCTTTATTGAACAGGATCCAACAGTTTCAGGGTATGTTTGGGTGCTGCACTCCAAATATGGAAACAGTATTTCAGGACAGGTCTGATCTGTGCCTTATAGATCATAAGCAGCTGACTGGAGGTGAAATGGCTCCTGGCCTGGAACAGAAAAACAAGTTTTTGGGATGCACTTCTAGCAATTGACCTCACGTGATTTTCCAGAGAAAGGTTATTGCTGATAGTAATACTAAGCATCAAAATGGATGTCTCCAAAGGTATATGATGGTTACTCCTGACAAGCTTATGTTGGGCACAGTGAGATCGGCTTTTCTAGAGAAAAGGCATGCTTGTATTTTGTTGAAATCTACCAAGCTATTGGATCTCCATTCGAGAATTGTTGCCAAGACCATATTTATGTTGTCAACATTCCTCCCTCGTTTGTTTCTGATTTGCCTGGCTGGTATTGGAGCCTTAGAAGTGTTGAAGATATTATATTATAAGACTCTGAGAACTCTGGTCTTCAGCAAAGGGATTTTATTATTCACAATCTTGCATTTGCACGCTATACTATAGAAACACGTTGCACCGCGGTAATCCAGAATCAGCAAACTGCCTGCTCTGCCACCTGGACTGGCCATTTGCCTGATCATAAACTCTTTCGAATTCATGAATACTATGGAGAAGCTCATCTTCGTCTTTATGATTAGCAGCCAAAATACCAGGAACTATCTGCTTATTGCTTAGACCAATGATAACTTGATCTTTGATTTCATCGAATTCTTATTTCTATGCTTTACAGAGCTTAACTTTATGGTGGAAGTAAGAAAACAACGAGTTCTTACCTTGAACTGTCCGCTCCATTCCTCTCCATTAATCAGGTCTTCTTGAATCTGATCTTGAATTCATCAAAGTTTTGAATCGAATCTGAATTTGCTTTCAACTATTCGTTTTCCGTTCCTACAAGATGGATTTTCGCCGTCTCCAATTTGAATGCTTCAGGCCATTTATGCAGCATAGCAGTTCCAGCTGTTCCAACCATCCCAATGCTGACTTTCCTAGTTCCTCTCCATTGAAGCACTCAATAGATTTACTAAAATCAGGCATCACTTGGTAACTGCAATCCGTAGCTTCCCGCTGTTGTGAATATTGAAACCATCTGTCTTCTGAATCCTTCCGACTCTGTTCCATCAACAACATCATCTGCATAAACTTGTCCATAAGCTGATCTGGTGGACCATCACTTGAAGGACTCATATTTCCGTCAACATCTTCTGCTCTCGTCACAGGCATTTCGTAGGTCCTTGACCACTTCTGATTTGTTGAAGATATTATATTATAAGACTCTGAGAACTCTGGTTTTCAGCATAGAGATTTAGTTATTCACAATCCTCGATATTTTTTAATAGAGAAATCGAGAAAACTGTTAATTTTTGGAGGTTAGGTCAATCGGATTTTTTCATCAGTTCATTCCTATCTACACCATGCCAAAAATTCAACCATTTTCAGATACTTTTTTCTCGAAAAAATGACATTTGGAGGTCAATATAGAGAAAACTGTCAATTTTTGGATTTTTTCATCAGTTCATTCCTATCTACAACATGCCAAAAATTCAACCATTTTCAGATAATTTTTTTTCTCGAAAAAATGACATTTTGACCACCAAATGTCATATAGAGAAAACTGTCAATTTTTGGAGGCTAGGTAAATTGGATTTTTCCATCAGCTCATTCCTATCTACAACATGCCAAAAATTCAACCATTTTCAAATACCAGTATATAAAAGTCTGCAACATACCAAAAATTCAGCGATTTTCATCGAGAGCCATCTTCCCTATAGTTAAATGCGGGGTCCTTTGTCAGATTTCCTTTCAATCAGAGTGTTTTGTGTTTTGTATAATACTTTTCTGATTTCAATTATAGATATACTTTGTTCTTTTCCACGGTTTTTATGTTCTTTTCAAACAAATGCAGGTTGGAATGCAGAAACAGGAAATGAATTTCACTAAGCGGATTCTTAAAGAAATCTGAAATAATTTCAGGCCTTTCTTCCGAGTCAAACTAATTTTTGAGTAGTATCCATTGGCGTACAATACGTAATTTCCACATGTAATTTCTCATCAAAATCTACATACATGATGATGATAATTTTCGAGTTTTCGATTTTTCAACTCCAGCATAATCTTTGTGAGGCAGTGAGCAAATTTTTCTGAGAGTGTAATTCGTTTTACCAAATGGGAATGTTCTTAGGCAGTACCTATCAATAAATGAATTTTGATTTCAGACTAAGCCTTTTGGTTGAGAAATGGTGAAAAATGTTATGTAGGTACTCAAACAAATGTGCTCATATGTCATGTGCTCTGTATATATTCATGTTGGGATTCATTTTTGCAGTTTTTCAAAAAGACTTAATATTTCCTGAATGTAGGTATGTTTCAAATGCCTATTCTTTTAATCCTCCGTTTTAATCAAAACTGTTTCTACTGAAATGCATTCAAAAACTTGTGGGGTGGATAATTATGGGCACAATGATGAGAAAGTATAATATGTGATTTCGTATTAGTTTCATCTATATTTGCTGATGTATTTACCAATTTTCTCCAATCCGTCACTTCACTTTCCATGTTCTAAGTTCATTTGCATTTGATGGAAATCTGACGAATTCAAATTTGTCATCCAACTGATTGATACAGCCTAACCTAGCTCATTTCACCATCTATCCAAAACAGATTTGAATAATGTCGTATTAAGATCAAGTATGAAATTAAAATTTTGTAAGATCTCTTAATTTTAACGCCTATTAATGTGACGTGACAGCAATGTCATGTCAGGGACGCCAATACTCGAAACCAAAGTCACTAGATGATTAAAAGAGAAAGGATCAATGATCTGTCCGTACCCTAGCTGTTAGATGACAAATACGTCAGTTTGCATCAAGGGACCCAAAACATGTCTAACTTTCAATCCATGCCCCGAGCTGGGATGATTTCCCGTATAGTTTTGAATGTCCTCGTAACGTCATCTAGTGACCTTAACGACCGCGAATTTTCCGATATTTGACAAACTACAGTTAACTGTTACTAGGACTACATTGCCAGGACTCCTTTCCGATTGTAACCTTGACATCTGATTGATTTGTAAATGGATCACGTCAATAAGACATTGCATTTATCTTTGAAGCAAGATATCAAAGTTTTAACTGAAACTATCGAAAATATCGCTGTAGACACAGACTTCAAGTCATGGATGTTTCCTACAAAAAAAAGCGAATTTGTGAAAGAATTCATCAATGTAAACAGAGTTTTCGAATATGGTGATACAGAATTGTACTTAGAACTTCTAGTGGATAGGTAAATAACACAACTAATTACTTATCGATTTCAAATAATCCCTTCGAGTAGGTATTTCTTTGATCATCAGTAGGTAGGTTTGTACATAAGAACTTTGAGTCCTGTATCTACTTCAGGTTGTACGTTGGATTGAGATTGGTTATATCCCACTTACAAAAAACGTTGAATCATGCTCGAAATGATGAATCAGCTGAGGATAATATAGTAATACAAAAACCTAGGCAAATTACCATCGGTTGTTGTTTTTTGAACCTGTGGAAAATAGTCGAAGCTCTTGCTATCGAAATGGTAAGGAATATATGATTTCAAACATTCGCTGGTTATGTAATTGAATGCCATATGTTTTTTCACAGGCAGATGACGGCAATCAAACAATAACTATTCCAAGGAAAGCCATGAGTAGAACATACAGAAATGGAAAAACTCAGACTGATAATATTTCATTAGATAAATGTGATAGCTGTGCCTCTGCAATATCTTGCATGAAGAGTTTAATGGACATTTTCGAAGAATCTGATGATATATCAATTAAAAAGTAAAATATGGTAAAAAAAAGTGAAACCAAGGAGTATGGTCTGTTCATAGAAATCTTATATTCAATTTCAACTCATCAGAGGTATATATACAGGTTGAGACTTTTTTGCAGAAGGGCTATATAACAGCTTGAAGGTGAAAATTTTTCAAGATGAACATTTTTCATGAACATATTTTAGTGAGAGCTTCGTTTCCGATACACAGGGTTTCAGAGTTTGCACGGCTCCAAAAGTTTTTCATGTAGGTTTTCAAGATCGATCGATAGCCACAAATATTGCGTTTCCAAAGTTTACCAGGTGTACAAAATTTCAATTCATTATTTTGAAATTTTTAGGAGAAAAATTCAAGAGCACAAGAAAAATCTCAAATTTTGAAAAATCGGAAACGAAGCCCCCTTGTTTATATTATGTTCACATGTGGTCTCCATCACAAAATAATGTATTTTTCAAGCTGTTAAAATCCTGCAGAATACGGACTCGAAAAATAAAGTTTCATTGAAAGTAAAGTTTTAGAAAAAACAAAAAGAAGAAAAAAGCATCCAAATTGAAAAGATGATTTAATTGATGTATCATAGAAAACAGGCGGTAGGCAAAAAAGTTCGAGAAGGTTAACTCGGGTACAACCCTCAAAAGTGTATCATCCTGTGTAGGTATTGAAGAACGCTTGATAGCCCCAAATATTGCATTTTCAGAGTGTGATTAGGTGTACCAAATTTCAATTATTTTGGGAATTATAGGAGGAAATTGAAAAAACACGAAAAAAATCTTGAACTTTGAAACCCTGTATACCGGAAACGAAGCTCCCACGCATATATGTTTTTTACATGAATACAAACATCAATATTTTATGTCGAACCTTGAACTCACCGTTTCCGGGTAAATAATCATTACGTTCGCGAAAATGCTGTTCACATCTGCCTGTTTATTCGACACCAGTAACTTAACAGAACAATATTTTATAGGAATCGTATTTATCTCTACTGTAGATGCACAGAACCGTAATCCCTCAAACCGTATTTTGTATACTGTACCTGAGCATACCGGACAATAACAGATTGCAAATGCGCAGATGTGTATTTTTCTATAATAGCAATATCGCAGATCCGCAAATATACAGAATCGAAAACTAACAAACCAACATCACAGCGGAATGATATTTCGTCAGAATCATAACAACACAGACCGTAATTCGTCAGAATCGCAGAATGACAGACCGCACATTAGCAGACCGTACTTTGTCAGAATCGAAATACAACAAACCGTTTATCGACAGAATAGTAAAATGTCAGAACCGTACATTGACAGAATAGCGAAAAATCAGAACAGCACATTCACAGAATCTCAAAATATCAGAACTGTAAATTGAAAGAATCGTAGAATGCTAAAACCGTACATCGACAGACTCGTAATACAACAGACCGTATTCTATCAGAATCATATTATATCAGAAAGTACAATGACAGAATGTACTTCATAATAATAATAATAATAATAATAATAATAATACTTTATTTTCTTTGTGACATGCAGTTACATGTATAGAATTGGTCAAGGACGATTACTAAAGCTAAAACTAACTAACTTAAATATAACTAAAACTAAGTCTTCAAAATTCATCTAAGGAGTAAAATCCACCATTTATTAGGTATTTCCTAAGACATTGCTTGAATGCTTTCAATGTAACACATGATTTAATTTCGGCCGGAAGTTTATTGAACAGCCTTTGCCCAGTCACAGTAGGTGATCTGTATAAAAGATTTGTTCTTGAAAATGGCACATGTAGGTCATTTTGCTGTCTTGTGTTGATAGAATGAATTTGTTTGTTAGTTTTAAAAGAGGTTATGTTAGAAAATATAAAAACACATACTTCAAAAATATACAAACACGGTAAAGTCAAAATTTCATTAGATTTAAAAAAAACTTCGACAACTAGTGGTACGAGAAACACCAGCGATACAACGAATTAATTTCTTCCGCGAGATGAAGACATCATTGAAACAAGTGGATGATCCCCAAAAACATATTCCGTATCTTAGTCGGGATTCGGCCTGTGCATAATATAACATTATCAATTGTTTCTCTGTTAAAACTGATCTCATGTTTCTGAAAAGATAGATAACGGAGTTGAGTTTTAAAATAACTGACTCACAGTGTCTCCTCCAGTCAAGGCACTCATCAATGTATAGGCCTAGAAACCTCACGTATGACACATTTTCCAACACTTTATTATTGATGTTTAAATGTATGTTTGGTACTTGTTTTTGTTTTTGATGAAAATGTATTGACTGTGTTTTTTCTGCATTTATATGAAGTGAATTCATGCAGAACCAATCATACAACCTAGAAAGAACTTCATTACATTTTTCCTCGAAGGAATAATTAGATTTTTCCGATATGAGTATGGATGTATCGTCCGCATACAGCGTAAAATGTACAGATGGGCACGCTTTAACGATGTCATTTACATATATTAGGAACAATATTGGGCCCACCACTGACCCTTGAGGAACACCTACACTGATATGAAGATTATCCGAGTTACAGGCGGTAGACACTGATTGCTCGGTCGCACCTGGAAGACTGACGTATTGGCGACGTGCCTTAAACTATCAGAACCGTAATTCAGCAGATTAGTAAAATGTTAGATCCGTAAAATAACAGAATCGTAAAAATTCAGAACCGTACATCGACAGAATCGTGAAATATAGGAACTGTACGTCAGCAGCTGAGACATATAGAGGAGGGGCATTTGAAATAAGACATCACGCTGTAGAATCGTTATCGTTCAAAAATTTTTTCATAAAACTTGGTACAAATCTATTTCAGAGGACGCCGATTCCAGTGGCGTTCGCGGATTTTTTCTGGAAAATCGCTAATATGGATTCTGGATCTTTCAGCCTCTGAATGTGATTCAGTAGGTTTTGGTTTGGGAAACAAGTGGATACCGGTTAGCCCCAAAATTCACCTTTCCTCCCTCTACATACAGAGAAGTGCACAAAAACGACCAGTGCTGTCGTAACTTCTGAATCATTCTAGAACGGATTTTGAAATGTTATCAATAGCAATTATACCAGAGTGCTTATTTACTGACAAGAAGATATTTGTTATTATTGTGTCCGGTTGGACCGGAAGTAACCCCTTTAGATTTTTAAATAGGACATCCTGTATATTTTTTCATTTTTGGATTCAGGGGATCGCTTTACATACAGTAGAAACTTCTTCTGATCACAATATCGCGAAATATACGGTTTGCGCAATTTAAAAATCAAAAGTTGGGGTTGCTTCCATTTGAAGCAGAAGTAATGAAAGAAATATTATTTGTCAATAAGAAGCAATTTGGCATACATACTTCCTCTGGAATTCTTTGCCAATGGAAGTATTCCCAAGAAGTTATAACCTTCAAAAGTTCCAAAAAAATTCCAACACCTATCTCCTGTCCCTATCGGCAGGCACGATATTCTTCGAACATAATAGGAAATTCCTTTCGTACGCTCCAAGAAATAATAGATATAATAAAAAAAACACTGATTTTCAAAACCCGACCTCGAATAATTCAAAAGTTACAGAACTAGTGGTTTTATGCGGTTCTCTGAAACATGGAGGTCAAATTACGAAATTTCGTCAATATTTATTGGAAAAAAATATTTATTTAAACACTTCTGGTTCAATCGGAAGCAACCCCAACATTTGATATTTGAATAGGACAACTTGTATATTTCGATCAGAAAAAGTTCCTAGTATATGTAGAACGATTCTATGGATTCGAAAATGGAAAATTATACAGGGTGTCCTATTTAATAATCAAAAACTGAGGTTACCTCTAGTTCAACCGGAAGTGATGAAACGAATTCTTTTTCGTCAATAAATGAGGAATTTGGTATATTTGCAACACACCTTTCGAAAGCCATTCTCGAAATATTGGGATGGTACAGCACTGGCCCTTCCTTGTGCACTCTGTATAAAATAATCGTGAAAATCGCTCCATAAATAAAAAAATTATGAGGGTGGCCGGCTCCAAATGGGTCACTCTGTATATGTGAACAGAATATCTTCTACCAGAATTAAATATATACAGGGCGTTCTATAAAAAAACTGGTTTGGACTGTTCTTTTCCTTTCGTGATTCTCATCTGTTTGTTTAAGTACACTGTGTCCCATTTTGGTTGAGACTGCACTGTATCTCAGCTATTATTGAAGATAGAGACATGCAGTTTCCGCGACCCTGTATCACTTTTTTGTAAAACTTTCAAAGTCACAAACAGAAATATTCCAACTACTCTTGTTCCTGAAATACAGGGCGAAAACGAAAATGTTCACTTTTGGAGATGTTATAATTTCTCAGGCCCCGTATAAGATGAAAAAAAAAGAAAACTGCTTATAATAAATATTTCTACATAAAAGTCAGTGGCGTATTTTGATTTTTTTTTCGAAGCACTGTTTTCAAGATTGGGCACAAACTTGGTATTTTTTAAATGGAACACCCTGTATATTTAAACGAAATTTTTTTGCAATTTTCCTCCTGAATTCACTGATATATCACAACCTAATCTTTATCACATTTTATCTTCAAAAATCAGAAAAATCCATATTTGTGTTTGTTTTTTTAATAGTATAGGCCGTGAATTCTTTCACACATGCATTTATTTATTACTTTCTGAATACGCCATGTGATTTAAACCTATGTATTCGATTATATTTTGATTATTTACTCAAAATATCACCCTTTAACATGAACTTAAAAATGATGAAAACAAAAAAAAATATATCGGTAATGATTCATCATTGAAAACTGTAATTACAAGAATCAAATTAGAAAATTAATTACAAAAAAAAAACATATAAATCTAATAAAATTGTTCAAATTTTTTGTCCTATACATAAACCACATACAGTTTCAATTCGCCTGGAAGCATTTAAAATTATAAAGGGTTGCCTTTGTAAGTTTCTGAATGCTTCTTCTCGTTGAGGCTCGAAGTTCATCTATATTATTATGCCGATTTGCA